CTATTTAACTTGTATGTAAATACCCAACGACAATCAATTACATTCATTCCATCATGACGGTCAACTAATTCCCATGTTTCGTTTGCAAGCAATGAATCCATTTCTTGTTGAGCCGCTTTCAACCAAATATTTTTGTCTTTTCTGTTATCAAGCTCAAGCAATGATGATGGTGGTTTAACATGGGTATATTGAGGGGCGGACAAATTAACTGAATCAGAGTAATTATCAACTATATCATCATTGAAAACTACATCTCTAGTTATAATCAACTTTCCATCAGCTTCATCCCAAACCTTAAAAGCCTTTTGATTTTCAGGATAACCAAGAAAAATACATTTTCGTGTTTTTGATTCTAACTTATTTCTAAGTTCTTTCGGAACATGAGCGTAACAATAACAACCAAAGATCTTTATTTTACTAAAATCAATAGGTTTACCGGACCAAATTTCCTCAGGTATTTTGAAGTTAATGCTTACATTCGGTCTACGATTGATTAAATAAACTGCTGTATCAACAGCTTCACCCCAAAATTCATCGGTCATATTAGCATCATGTAACATACAACGAACAGTTTCCATTATCGTTCTATTCATTCTCTCAGCCACTCCATTTTGCTGAGGTGAATAGCGAACAGAAAGCTGGTGTTGAATACCATTTACTGACAAATAATCTTCAACTTGTTTAGAAATAAATTCCTTTGCTCCATCAGTACGAAATATTTTGACCTTTTTAATCTTAATATTTTCAACCTTTTTCATGAACCTGATTATTATATTGGGTGATTGATCTCGTGTTTTCATCAAATAAACAAAAGTCTTCTTACTGTAATCGTCAATAAACGTTTGGAAATACTTATTACCACCAATTGACTCAACTGGCATAGGACCACAAATGTCACTATGAATCAAATCAAGACAGTCAGATGATTTTGAGGTTGACTCTTTGAATGGTTGTCTTGTTTGTTTACCATAAAGACATGACTCACACGCTTTGACAATATCATGGTTAACATCGTTTGAAAGCTTAAGTTTGCTTTCTTTTACCAACCTCTCAACCGTACGAATATTACAATGACCCAACCTTCGATGCCATAAAACTGTTTCATCAACTTTCGGTGCATTAGCAACATTACATTCAACAATAAAGTTGACTATATTGTTAACCTGATACAACCCATTGGTCAATTTTGCTTCGATTAATAATTGATTTTTACCATTTTTGATTGAACAATATTCACCTTCGATGACAAATTTACCTCCATTTTGACATGCAACTGACATTGACAATAAGTTTTTACCCAATTTAGGAATATAATAAGTATTAGCCAGTTTAATAATGTTAATGCCATCCTTAGTTTCTGTCTGCAATGTGACTGTACCTTTACCAATAGCATCAATTTTACTATTATCTGCCAATGAAATTGGTACATTCTCAATATACATAAAATCTGTAAACCATTTGAGATCATTAACCATATGACATGAAGCTCCAGAATCGATGTACCAATGACCAACATTATTAAGACCAATATTTACCATGAGTGCTGAAACATTAGAGGAATCAGATTGTTCCTTTTCTTTTCCTTCATCTAACTGTTTCTTTCTACACTCTCTAGCCCAATGACCTTTCTGTTTACAATAATTACACTTTCCAAAGCGCTTTTGTTTTGATTTATTAACGTAACCAGGTTTAGTTTGCTTCTTAATATTGTTGATACTCAATTTATTAGTCATCAAAGCAATCTGACTTTCACTGTTAGCTACATCGAGATTAAGCTTTCGGTTGAACTCCTCGAGAACTCGTCCTTTAACGAAATTGAAGTCAATTTTTGAAGAACCAAATTGTGATTCAAGAGATACAATCAGAGTTTCATATGTGCTTGGCAAACTCTGAAGTAAAGCAATAACCATATCGCTATCACTAACTGTTTGATTAATAGCCTCCAATTTTTGCTTCAAATCAATCAAATTATTAATATGTTTAACCATGTCGCCCGATGTATATTTAATGTTCAATAATTGTTTCCTTAAATTGAATTGATTAGCAAGACAAATCTTTTCAAAATTGTCACACAAACAAAGCCAGGCATCTCTTGGATCCTTAGCATCTCTGATGAGAGTCAAAAATTGATCCTCAACATTGAGTGCAATCAATCTCATCAATTTCTTTTGTTTCTTTTCAAAAGCTGCTAATTGACGACCGTTCAATTTATCGCCCTTTTCTTCACCAGCAAGAATATTCCATAAATCTAAATCTTCACAGATCAACTTGATCTTGAATTTCCAGTTAACCCAATTATCCTGGTTCAACTTATCAATTGATATCGATTTTGAATCTTCCATGGTTTGAATAGTTCAATAAGACCAAAATAATAATACCTTTAAACACATGTAACAAAGCATGATGAGCCCATAACCTGTTAAATAATTTGTTTAGACTGTATTGGTTTCAATCTTGAACACTTGAATGGATTAATCGAACTAACTTTAATAATGTATCAATGAAATTAAGTAAATTAAGGATATTGATTAAGGATGAACATAACGAATGTTTCAACTAATTGTGAATACATAACAATACTGTTCATTGTTACCAGTTAACTTCAACAAACAGCAAATATCAAGTAACAAAAGCAGTAGCTTAAACTTCCTGTGACATGGTAAAGGTAAAGGTAAAAAGTCATTTCCTATGGATGTTAATTAATGTTTTTTCTTGCAATTAGATTTTAATTTAAACCGGATAAAAAGGTAATCTATGAATGACTCGAGTCCTTTAGATTAACAGTATTTAATTGTTGCTTTGAAATGGCAAATGTAGGAAACTGGTTTTGTCAAGATGGCCCTTTGTTGGCAACTTTCATCTCTCTGTAAATGATTCGTTTGGATAGTAAAAAAGTTCAAGATTGAATTGAACCGGAATCATGGAAAAATAACTTGCAAAACAGTGAAACAAGTGAATAGTTTTACCGGAAGAAAATTGTGATTTTACAAATTTTTACATTCAAATGATTTGATAATTGTTAGCAAGTTGATGAAATTTATTTGAAGTTGTGATCATTTATAAAGTAGTTGAGATACTGAATCAACTTGAAACTGGTATTTTTTTTCATCATTTTGTGTCAAAATTTAACCACTTTTTTTAAACACTTTCATGTATTATTTTCATGAACTACTGAATTACAAGTTAATAATCGAATCGCCTACTCGACTGTTGTAACATCATTTCATTTGAAATTATCTTTTTCTCAGTTCATTATGATTTTTGCTTCACAAATGGACTTATATTTATCCTCATCATTAATAATATCAAAGTGAGAGTGTAATTAACATGTACAAATGTGTAAATATCGTCGTGAGAAAAAAAACAATAACCTGAAGAGTTTCGGGTTTACACACAAACCTGAAACTATCCATTAATCAGGTAAACGATGGACAAGAGAAGAAAATGAATGAACAAAAATTGAGTCATTATTAGCAATTATTATTGAGTTTTACCTCTCATCTTAACCAATTTTCCTATCATTACCTGTTGATGTTGTTCAGTTAAACCAACGTAATCAAATGACCATTAATGGTCAAAGAGGGAAATGTAAAGTTGTAGAAGTAAAAGTTGTCCAGAGAAGTGAATGACATGTAAAATTGAGACAATCATGGAATTTAAATCTTACTCAATGGACATGAAAGATCAATGAACTTTCTCTTCTTACTTTTCCTTCTTCATCATTTAACTTCACATCAAGTTAATGTTAAGGTAACTTTGATTGTTGACTATTGAAAAGTAACTGTAAAATTAAATGAATAAGCTTGTCAATTAAACATTAATGTTTGGCTTGAAAAGATGGCGAGAAACTTTCATCTTCATTTTCATCAATCATTATCATTTTGACTACTGAAGCTTATGAACTCATGAATTGGAAAGTCTCAACAAATTGAAATATTGTTAAAATGATGAAAAAAAGTAGTCATTTGATTGACCATTGAATTGAACTGAACAAAGGTATTGCTACCGGCAAAGTTGAGGCTTTAATTTTGATTCGTATTGGTTCAATATTATCGTTATTTTATCAACATTATTATGGAACGAGAAAGATGAAGAAATTAACTGATTACCTGAAAAACTTGTTACGAAATTTTTCATTTAATCAACAATTCCATTCCATCATTCTGACACCTTTTCTGTACCTTATTCTGGCTATTCTTGATGATATGAAGCATCAATTTATTCAACTCCATCATCATCAACATCACCTACTAAGGCTGACAAAGTGAAAAATAATGAAAAGTCAGAAGGAAAAAAAATATTTCCAGAAAATTGAATCAAAAGATGTTATTATTATCGTCGACTCAAGTACAATTTAAGGTGAAGATGAAATTTTTGATTGAATCAAGTTTTTCATTTAATGGGTAAAAAATGGAGCAAACTTTTGCGATTTACCGAATCTGAGTAAACAAAAGGTTTAATGATGCTAAAGGAATGGAAATGATGAAGAAACGTTTTTGATGAATCTATTGAACAATCAAGTGTTTTGATGTGCAAGGTTATAAGAGTAAAATTATATTTAAAAATGGTCTCAAAACGATTCTGTAAAGGGTTGAGTTTAAAATAGGCGCATGAAGAAATGTGAAAACGATAAAGAAATTCAAGGGAAATTAAAAGAGTTAAGAAATGGAAAACTCTTTTTTAACTTTGACCAGTACTTTTAAATGGTCATGATAAAGTTAGTAATGACATTTTCAGTGATGATGCAGAAAAAGCGACTAATGGACAAGTTGACCGTATTTAAAATCATTTCTTTTTGTAACTTTTCTCTTTCACATGATAACCAGAGCATGCAGAGAAACGCTAATGATTTTGATGCTAATGATGACATATTGCTGAATCAACTGAAAGTTGCAGTAAAAGTGTCAACAAGTTTATCTTTTTTTCCATGATTTTCATCATGAGTGTCACTTCAAGTGAAGGTTGATTTTTGAATGATTTTTTGATAAAATGAAACTTACTTCGAAACTCTCCGCTAAGTCCACTGAAAGGAGGTTGATAATAATCCCATTGAGTCCATTCTGAGTGAAAGCTCCATGGACGTTCACCTATTCGAGGTCGACGACGACGATGTCGTTTACGAGGGCTTTTAGCCGTTGAACTAATGTAATTAGGGCATGAGGAAGGCTGTTCAAACAGAAAATTCAATGAATAAATAATGAGCATAAAAGACATAAATAACTGTGTAAACAATTGTCTATTGTGTGCATAAATTACGGTATTAACCAGATAAATGGTACGAATGACATGATAATGATTGAAAAAAAGGTAATCAAACGATTGTAATTAAACGATTTTGATTGAATAACATAAATTTCATCAAATGATTGGTTTCAAGTCTGAACAAATTGGGTAAAAAAGGTGATAAAATAACTTTTTTTAAGCCAAGTAGTTTTGCATCTTTACTGTAATGAAACTTCATCTTCCGATTTACTTTGACCTAAATTAGTGTGAACAATATCAGGCCAGAAGCTTGGGATAAAGAGGTGGAAAGCATTCTTTCTTGTGGACGCCACAAAAAAGTGTACAACAATAATGGCAATTACAGCAATCTTAATTACAACATGACAATAATCAAAGTGGTTATTATGAAAAAAGCGATAGCAACAATTAATATAACAATGAAAGGTTGAATATAAAAGAGCCTGGAACAAGAATTTGGTAAAATCAACTTTTCCGGAAACAAGACAATTGTAATGAAAATTGTGAGACAAAATAACAATACAAATGATTGGATAAATTATTTGTCCTGCAAAATGAAAATAATGTTTGAAATTGATGTAAATAAGCAGGGAAAACAAGTTGAAGAGCAAATGTTTGCCTTCATTGGTAGGTCAAGCTGAGTGTTAATTGTATTGAATAAGTTTAAATTAAATCTAAATGGTTTATAATAATACATTGACATTCGCAAGTGGATCAACAAATTAGAAGGTTAAATGGATATAATCAAGGGCAGAAATTGCTATTATATTTTGAATAACATCATTTAGTTTGGTTTCATGTAAAGAAATTAAAATTTGAGCTTAAATTTGATTTCCAAGAGTAATTTGATAGCTTTTTGTTGGGCTATTCAATGAAATATTTGTATTTTCATGTTTGATAAAGATGAAGATGAAGAGTGAAAAACTAATATTAACTAATGATAAAAATGAACTTTGATCGACCCTTGAATAGATTAAGAAACAATTGATGTCTTCAACTTTTCCCTGAGAGGTTAATGGCAAAAACATGATAAAGATTAACATGTTTACGGATAAAACAGAAGAAATGAAATGATATTTAATAGATTTACCTATTTTTAGTGTAAACATGAATACCTAGTTGAATGGTTTTCAACGTAAATTCAAAAAATTGATACTTAATTAATTAAACAATAATTACTAAATTAATGATTATTGTGGAAACAAATGCTCAAAATAGTAACAAATGAATGGAAGAAAAAAGTTTGAATGAAATGAAAATTGAAAGTTTAACCAAAATTACCCTGAAGATAAGCAAACTAATTAATCATGTTTGACAAATTGTTATTTGCATTGAGCTTAAGTTGGGTGTTGGACTATCAATGAGATAAAGTCGATTGTTGAGTTTACATGAAAAAGGTAAAACGAGAAAACAAAGATTGATAAAGTTTAACAATTGGTAAATTTGTGTAAATCATGGATTAATTGTTAGCAAAGGCTGAGTAAATTGGGAGTAAATTATAATCATTAATGCAATAATCATGAAAATTTAGGTGGATTTACCTCTTTTTGATATTAAAGACTAACAATAAGAACTGAAATGTAAAAATTGGGTTAATGAGTTGACATCAATCTTAGTCTACTTTAATTTAGTTTAACTGTTCATTTCTTTTGTCACTTGATTAACACCCTTTGCTTACATTCAGGACCATCTTTTTCATCAATACTGAGCGTTATAATCATTATCATTATCACTACCAAGAAAGAGTAGAGCATAAAAAAAAACAAGACTCAAGGTGTTTTTTGATTGTACCGTTTTTTATGCAGTTTATAATTTATGTTAGTCAATTAGTCTTAATGGTGATATTTACCTCGCAAGCATCGCTCATATCAGCATCACTGGAATAACCAATATCTTTATGGATAATCTCATATTTACCATTGGGAACATTGAAAGTTTCATTGAGCCCCGGACCTCCACCAATACCAATCATGTTGGTTTGAATTCGTCGGTTTCTCATCATTCCTCTTATGTTTTCTTTACCTTCTGAAAATGGTCCTAATTTGAATCTTTTTGAATTACTGTATGGAGTACTAGACCTGGAAGGAGTAGAAAGATTAAACATTATAATTGGTGGGAAATCATGAAAATGTCAAAAGATGAATATTATGGGCTCATAAATAAGTGACTAGATTCATGTTTAGGTAACTTTGTATATAATTTCAGGTAAGTTTGAAAATTTTAATCTAAAATGATTGATACTTTTGATCATCATTATTTTTATCAAGATTATCATGAATTTTGGTTTTACAGAGGTAAGTAAATTCAAACTCGGTACATGATGTCATTGGATGCTGGTATAAGATTTTTTTGTAAGAAACTGAAAAGTCATTGGAATGATATTTAAGAGCGAGAAGTAACTCAGTGGAACCGGCATTGAAGTAAGAATGAGAATTAATTATGATGATAATCAAGATGATGATGATGAAAAGTAATGATGAAGATGGGATAATAATCAAAGTTGCTATGCAAAACATGTCCAAAGCAGTGGTCAAACATCTTGATGTTAACCTTGAGGCTTTTTAATCTTGTTTGCTAGTCTAACCTGAACAATATAAACAAGAAAAGGGTTGAAGCGATAAGTTAACGAAACATGTAATCACAACAATAAAGTGTATAATAAATGATGAGTAAAGAAAGAGGTAATTGATGCGTAAATCAAGGAGTGGTTAACAGATTGTTGATATTATTACATAGGTAATGGTGAAATGGCAAAATATATATCAATAAAGATTGATACTTTTAATTCATGTTACATTCATGGTTTTCAACTTGAAATGGAATGAGAAAAGGGATGAAAAAAGTAAATGTTTGCTTACCTTTCACGATTCCAAGTTGTATGGTTAGGACAGGTGTGATGTTCCTCAACAATCATGAGACATTCAAACGATTTAAGCCATAGATTATGCCATCGGGTTTCTTCCGCTGTTAACAGCGATTTATTAATTTTACTGGCATTTGATTTAAGTGAATTGATGAAACTTCGACCAACAGTTTGTATTTCAGCTTGAATTACCTGTGAAATGGACAAGAGTTGTTAAGTTAATCCAATGTTTAATAACTTTTATCACGAGGTTGGGTTTAATGATGTTAAAGGTTTAGGGTAAAGGGTCCATGTCATGACATTTTCAGGGTGATATAATTGATAGTAAACTCATTTACTAGAAAAAGCTATTCTCTCAAAGTAGTTTCACCATGCAATCCTGTGATGATCGACACACAATAGAGAAGATTAAAGATGAAAGAGAAATGTGATTCTTGTCAAAGAAGAGTTATCATGAAACTGAAACTATCAAAAAAAGGGAAGAAGGAAAAGTAATACAAAAATTACCAATGACTTGAACGCCCACAAAATCCATTATACAAAGTATCTATTAAAGTCTGAGTTTCAATGGAAGATAAAAAATGAAGAAGAGGAAAAAATACACTTAATGTTATCAAAAATGAGTAAAAAAAGGTAAGTTGAAAAGATGATGAAGGGCACAAGATATGAATATGAATGGGTCAGCAATTGATGTTGATGCGTGATTGTTTCTGTTTGATGTTTGCAAACAAAATCAATAAATTACACTGTAAAAAAGTGGACAAAGAAAGGCAATCGAGATAAAAATGGTTGACAAAAAAGTTGATAATAAAGACTTGAGACGAGCTGCTTTCTGGATGGATACGAGATAAAGTTCAATTGATCAAAGATGGAAACAAAATAGTCCAACTTGAAACAAAAAGTAAACACAAATTGTGATGAACAACGAGGCTTATGATGATTCTGGTGATTGTAATCACAATACTTTTTTATTCCTTGCGATGGGTTTAAAGGCAAATTAAGGCCTTTTCGAGTTAAGTCGAAAGCTGAGACGGAAGTAATTTAAACATTGTCAGCATTTTTAATCACGGGTTAAAAGAGAAGCACTTAGAAAGTTTCAGGATTGAGATTTACTCAGATGCGAAATTGAAACTTAAATGTGTTTGATGTGTAATAAGACTTTACTGAACCTATTCAGGTAACAAATGCATGTTAAAGTTTCTCTCTTTACTCTCTCAATGAGTCTCTTTAAACGTGTCTCATTTTTTACCCTAATTAAGGGATGGTGCTGCCATCTATTGTTTCCTATTGAAACTAATTGGGTTAACTCAACATTTGGTTCAACTCTATTTGCTAATCCTTAGAGCTAGATATTTGACTAGCATTTGTTTTTTAATGAATATGATTAGTTTAAACTGAGAATGCTGATTATTTAGTTTTCAGTGAGCTTGAATCGAGTTTTTGAATGGAACCATTTGTATGGATTCAATTTTAATAATTTACAAAGTAATTCTCTGGATGTTATTGCAATTGAAAATTATGATTGTAATCAACATTGTTGGTATCCCACGGTATTTGGGTATCAAATGAAATGGCTAATTGTTTTTGATGATTGACCTAACAATCATTAAGGTTTAGATTATTGAAAAGTAATCATCAGTGTTGATGATGATTCTGTTTGGATTTGGATAATCAATCAAGTTGAACTTGTAAAGACATTATAATTAATCTGCAGGAATCTGTGCCATTTGCGTTATATGATAATGCTAATATCTTGGTAGAGCATCGATTGCAAATCTTTTTTGAACTAAATTAATGGTTTTAAATTGAATTGGAATAACAATTATAATGAAATGAAGTGAACAAATTGAAATGATTATAAAATGATTGAACGGATTGACCTTGATTTAACCAAATATTATTTCAAAGTGTTATTCAAGGTAAACCTGAATCATGAATGAATTACAACAAATTTACGGTGAAGAAACAAAGTAACTCTTCATTTCTTCACCAAAAATTTAAGTTGTTGATAAACATGATTTAACCTTGTTATCTACCTTTGAACAGCACATGTCTGCTATTAATAATGAATCAATTATCATGATGAAGATGAAAACCAGGTTTAATCAGTGTTTTCCAGTCTGTATGAAAAGTCTAAGCAACAGTAATGATTAAACAATTGAAAGCAAATCGCATAATAACACAAAATTCAAAGAGCAAATGATTAGATGAATTGATTGAAAGCTAAATAAACAATAAATCACAACATTGATTGTTGAATATCCAATGGAAAAGATGAGATAAATTTGGTTCGAGAAACTAAGGTAACATGGTTGACATATTAATGACAAGTTGTTACTGAAATGATCAGATGATGTTTTCAAGATGAAACAATCTGGTTCCTATTTCAATTGATTAATAGATTCAGTCTCAAGTGTAATGAATTATACTCATTACTAAACTGATAACATCATTGGACTCATTTAATGTAACATAATTCACGGTCTAACAATAAATCTAATGAGATAAAATGTAAACAAGATTCAGGGTAACCTAAATAACAAAAGATACTCAAAGTTGTTAAAAAAATAAACTTTAAAAATCCTGTTCGAAGGATCTGAAGGTGCAACAGATAGCGCCATCTATCAACTGAGAATGCAAGTGGAGACCAAAATTTTGTTCATTTTACTTTTCAATGTTGTACAGGAAAATGAGGAAGAAATGGGTTCATGAATAATAATGAGTAAACACCAGGGTGTGACCTTGATGTCTTGTATCTCTTGACATTAAAGTTTCACCCATTGATGAAGATGACCAAATGAGGAAGACAGGGGAAAGAGGAAGAGAGAAGGAAGAGGAAATAAAGATGACAAAAGAAGTTCAGTAAAATGATTTGATTACTGTCAATTACCATGGTTATTATCATAATCATCATTATTATCGTCATTTTCCACTTTCTAAGAGGATATCTTGTGCAAGTATAATAATAGTAATAAGCAGCAAACAATTAATTAAAGATATATTATTGATGTTAAGTCCAACTGTTACACCCAAGTGTAAGATAAGTAAAACTGGCTCAGGGAATGGGATGAATTTATCAAAGCATGATAATAATGATGAAAGGTAACTTCTCATAATGAAGATTTATAGAGAGATCTAGAGGGAAAGTTTATCGGATAAAAGGTAATCATGAAAATTCAATGGATTTTCATAATGGAAAGAAATGGCTAATGTTTGGATAAAATGATCAAAAATTGATATCTCACATGAAATGATTAACTTGCTTAACACAAGTTAACAAATCAACAAAGTTTATTCATTTTGATGCAAATTGATACAAAATGACTTTAAGATCAAAGTGATGCCTTTAAGTCATAAGTTAACCCAGAAAAGGTTATAAGTTGCTCAATTTTCAACAAAAAATTTAAGTTTAAGGTTTAGCGGCAGGCAAAAAGTTAATGTATTTAAGGTAAACTTTCAAGTGTGTTTGTAATGAATGACGGTAATAACAATTTTGATAATCGGTAATCATTAGTTGATGTCAGTTTGGTCGTTGTTTTAGGGGAAATTTGCCATTTAAAATCAATTATAAACAGTTAACTTGCAATTAGGATGATAATGATTATGATTGTCAATGGAAATAATGAAAATGATACTTTTCAGGATAACATGAGCATCTGTTTTGATGATAACTGTAATTATAATGCATTAATGGTGGATTACTCATGAACACTTATCATCAATAAACACATTTTAACTGACAAATCAATGTTAATCATAATTAACGAGCAAAGATTAGAGTCAGATGCAATTCAAAGTCAACATTTATAATTGAAATAAATAACAAAAATGGCAGTGAAAGTTTTACCGGTAAAATAACAAAGGAAACCACCTAAGAATTGACAAATTTCATTGACTTCATAAAGCGATTTCAGGTAAAACGGAAAGTTCATTGTTTCTTGAGTTGATTAATAAACGCTGAATTATGTAACTTAAGAAAATATAAAATCTTTGAACTAAATTATACTGGTTTTGCATCATTATTGCTATTAATAACTGTTGATAATGATTATTACACTGAGTTTCAGAGCAGTGCATGGAAAATTACGTTTGAATATCTTAGGAAATTTCAGTGCAATTAAGAGGTAAATTGAATTGAGTGTAATTTAAGCTTTTCAAGTTTACTTTTTCTAGGCTCATTAAATTGTTATGCTTAGGTAAAAATGGTTAATTAGTAGGATTTGTTTGAGGATAAATGAGGAAATTTTTGTGTTGATTTTGGGTGAAATTGAGTTTCAGCCATGAATCAAACAGATTGAATAATGCAATAAATGTTAGCTTTTGCTTAGCAAAAACGTTTCCTTACAAATTAATAATTTCAAGTTTTCTGTACAAAGTTCATGGTTGATTATATGTAAAAATTGAAACCACGAAATGAGTAGCATGAAAATTTCAATTAACAATTGACAAGTACAAGAGGCAATTGATATTTTTTGAAAGTTAATCATGATGGTCAAGATGTTCAAGTTACGGGAAGATACTTGAAAAATTTGGACAGTTGAAATGATAAGTCAAGGAAGGAATCAGTAGCTTTAAAAGTATGAAAAGAAAGGGTTAAGGAGGTTAGAAATGAATAAAAGTAACAGGAAATTTTCAAGACCTACAATTAAATTGAGATCATAATCATCATCATCAGATGTTCAAGTTTGTATGATGAATTATATTCCATGAAAAGTGAGAAAAAAAGAAAGGGTAAGGTCGAAGACCTTGAATTCCAATCAAGATTGATTGAGAAGGAAACTCTTCCGCTTTTAATGGATCATCTTCAGAATCACATTTAGATATTGACTTACAGAATTTTTCACTCTCCTTAATATGTCTCAAGACTCAACATGAACAATAATCAGATAATAAAAGTTAATTAGTAAATGAATGAAACAAGTTTTCAATTTAACTCAACAAATGTAGATGGAGTGACTGGTCAACAGAAGGTTGAATTTTTCAAGACAAAACGAGTTAACCAGAATCTGGAATCTGGATGAAAGTGTAGTTAACTTGATAAATGGTTAATAAATGAGGATAAATTTGAAACAGAGAGAGTCACTTGAGTGGATTGATTAATGTTAAGAGTTGAAGAGAAACGGTTAAGAAATGAAAATGTCGTTGAACAAGAATGTTGGATGTTCTTCAAAAAGTCAACAAGTTGAATGGTCTCAAGTGTGTAAGTCTTGAGGTATTTTCTTGCTGATTCTCAGATTTTCTTTCCATGAAAACAAAAGTTGAAAAGCATGTGAAACATTTACAGAATATTAATTGTTGGGTAATAAAGGAATGAGACAATTTTGGGTTTTGTACTACACCAAAATTGGATAACAGTTGAACATGATATTGGATGTATTTTGGACATTTTATTGTTCAACGTTATTCAGAAAAGTGATAAGTATGATAATAGTAAAATAATTATAATCATAAAAATATAATTGTAATGTGGTGATCAGTCGTGACCCAATCATGTAGGGCATTTTACTGAACCCAGTCTGATATACATGAAAAATTTAACAAGCATAAATCATAATCAGGATTTTTGACTGTGTCTTCATGAGGTGAGGAAACGATTTCAAGCTTTTTTTTTCACCATCAATTTGTCTTATTGCCTCTTCAACATCGAAAACAGCATCAGTTCACCTTCTTTTCCTTCTTCACTGATTAGGACACGGTGATGTTAAGTGTGAAAAGTGGTGAAGTAAGAGATCAACATCATTATCATCAATATCATGTTCAATTGTAAAGTGATCAACGAAATGTCGGTGAAAAAAGAAGAGTCAAGACAAAGGTTATCATGTTGACCATTAAATGGTTGACAAATATGAAAAAAAAATCTGGTTGAAATAAACTGGGCTGGTAAAGGAAAATAAAGGTGAAATTAAGGGTAAAAAAAGTAAGTCATAGCAGGAAAACAGGTAGGTGAGATATCCTGTTTGTAAGGAAAACAATTTGAATGCTAATAAAACAATCATTTTCTCAGGTTTTCAATGTTTGTAAAGATAATGGCAACAAAACGGTGAAAAAGAGCAATAAAATCACAATAGAAGAACGGTTTTTAGGTAGGTTTTGAGGGGATAATTTTTCGATATAAATGTAAACAGTGAAATGAACGCGCCATGTAAATGAGTCACTGAGAGGGTGAAACATTGTGAGTTATAGTTCAACCTAATTACAAAGACAAGGTAAAAATGAAGATCAGGGGAAGAGATTGTGTCTGTGATGATCAAATAGACAAAGAGGATTTTGAATAATGGGGATAATATGGATCGTAGGATAAATGGATTATACAGATAAATGGGTTATGTTTGCTTCGCTTTTTTCAAACTCACCGAATCCTAATTAGTTTTCGTATTCTGATTTTAAAACAATGTTAAATCAATAGATTCAAATGAGCACAGTAATCTGTTGTCCATCAGTTGATGATTAATTTACTTGTTATCATCATTAACCGTTAAAGGAAAAATTTTTTTGGATGTTTAGAGATTGAATTACACACTTCCTTTTTTAATGTTATTAACAATCAGATATTTAGCTTATTTACTTTCATTGAAATATTCTTTTTTTTCTGTTTAAAATGATGAATTGTGGAAATTTTTGGGTGTTCAATGATCAACATGAACATTTTAATGGTTTTGATTGTGTCAAAACGGTTGGTTAATGGTGAGATGGAAAGGAAGAAATGATTCAATAGGCAGAATAAAAACAATCAACTAATGAAGGGCAAAATTGAAGTTTACATTATAAACATAATGAAAAGATTGATGATAATTAACAGCAGCAAATGTCAACTGTTGAGATGTTTGAACAAACTAAACAAGGATGAAACACAAAAAAAAACATTATCACACTAAAAATCTGAAAAGTCATCGAAGAACATTAAACAGGACTGAACTAGAAACAATAAAATTGGATAACCATCAGAAAGCATTTTGAATCCGTAATAACGGCAATTTAAATCACAATCAAAATGATAAAATTGACTGATTTACATCTTATAGCTATTTCAATTGATGAATGATGGATAAAATTCTGGTTTTGACATTAAACTTGGAAAAAAGAAGAACAAGTAAAGTGTTTGGAATAATAAGTAAATCAAGTTCAACTAATCTAGGTCTTTTATCAACATGAAATAACCAAGGAATAAATTGTATTCAATTTTCTCTGGGTGACAGAATTTACGTAAATAGCAACATTTAAGTGTGAAATTGATTGAAACATGGTGACAATGACGAGTTTAGTGGTTAAGGTAATTGTTGACAGAGGAGGGATGGAATGAAATGCTGTCTGGAAGAGGAGGAAAGATGGTGAAAAAAAGAAAGCGATTGATTACTTTGTGTTCAGCAATGGCATCTATCCATTCCCTTTGAGAGGCTGAGAGGTTTGAATTGCTTGCACTAAGTGTATTGCTATTAAAGTTGACATTTCCTTGCCGAAATGAACAATAGCAGACAGATTCAAGATGTTCCTCTGTATGGTTAATCCAATTGGAAAACTCTTTAATTGACATGTTATCCATGGAAACCTTTGAACTTGCCACTGCACCATCACCCAAGGAGTTTTCACTGGTAGAACTTCCAGGTGAGATTGCAGATAACAAATTGAAATCATCAGTGTTGGACAAATTGATAGATTTCTCATTTTCTAATAATGCCTCTCGACAGGTTTGAATCAGCTCATTATTATTTATAAGGTAGTTGTAATCCTCATTTTTGAATGTATTCATCTTTGCCCAAGTGTAGACGCTTTATTAATCAATATTCATCTCCTCTACATCCCTTTAATTGTTGTCTCCTTGGTGTACACACATGTATATTTACACATAAAGATAAATTCACTGAAACATTTGATCACTAAAACAAAAACATTAAGAATTTATTTCTCCATTTTTCAGTTCAGGCATTAGTCTTACTCATCTTTGCCAAGTGTAAACCTGAACCAAAAAATCTTTCTGTATTTTCCTTTTTCTCTTGTTATTTCTCACACTCTTCCCTTAACCAACAGCAAATCAGGTTTTACCAGATGACTGCCATCTCCTGGATAATCATGAAACCACTCGGCTTTTTCGCTCCAACAATTATTTCTATTGATTTTTAATCAATTTTAACAATTTTGATCATTCAGTGAAATTTAGTTGATTACAGCTATCAATCTTGTTTTAGTGTTTTTACTTTAAACTGTCATCATGTCTTTTCGAACCTAAAATTCAGTGCAAATCTCTCAGTTTTGATGCCAATTTATTGTTACAGTTTTTGGATCGCAATATATATTGTTACATTGGATGATGTTGGAAGCGTTTTTTTACATCGAAATAAATTGAACCTTTTGAATGACAGTACAACTAATTAACATGGTAACCTGAATTCCAAGGAATAGCAGAGTATCTCTGTGTTCAATTTTAGGTCAAGTTGATTAGTTAAGATAATGAACATGATGATAAAGCCAAAGGATAAGATATGGGTTACAATGGCAATGGAATATACAAGTGGATTGTTTTGAAATTTGAAAAGCCAATGACCTGAAGATTTTCTGGTCTTTTCTTACCTGGACACGAATTATTATTTGCTCAGCAGGAATTAATAAGAAGCTCACAAAAATGGTGAAAAAAACTGAAGGTGGCCAAAGAAAAGAAAAGTTTAAGGAGCCAAAAAAAGTAAAGGTAAGTGAATATATAAAATAGATATTACAAAAATGGTTATGAGAAAGACAAAAAAAGTACCCAAAGATTAGGTATGGTTAGGATTAAGAGGAGAGGGAAGATGAAGACGAAGGAGAAAGGTTAATCTTGAAGGAGGGAGAATGAAAAGATGATGATAAAAGTATGTTAGTGAGTTATAAGTTATAAGGATGAAAATGGTGATAAATGTAGTGAATAATACTTGTACATTAAATGAATGAGAAGCATTTTTGGAGAATAGAGAAGAAATGATTGTAAAAATTGTTTATTATTAGAGCAAGGTCTTGTTACACTTTGACCTGAAGGTCAGGTCAGAGAGTAAACATGGAGAAGAAAGGAAGACAGAAATGAGAAGGAGGAGGATGGAAAAGAAAGACAGGCGAAAAGAAAGAGAAGGAAGAAGAGAAAGGAAAACGTGAAATGGAAGAAATAAAAGCAAAATGGATGAAAAGAAATGATTTTCATATATTCGCATCTTTTCTGGTTCACCATTTTTTACCATTGATTGAACCGATTACAAGATTGATTGTAATTAAATTGTACATTCTCCATGATTGTTTAATTAAAGCCTGAATTAAGGTTTGGTTAAGGTTAATTAGCATGTTTAATTAAGATGAATATATGATGATGAAGATGATGATGGCAATGGTGAAATGGGCAAAAAGATATCTGTTTGTTGTTACCGTTGTAAGTGAATAATTAAAGCAAGTTACTCTATTCTTATACGGAAATGAATTAATTTTTTTGTTTTTCTCATTTTCAACCCTTTAGAATTATATTCATGATTAAATGAGCTTTTTTTGTGTGCTTTAAACATAAAAAAGTTAACTTTTTATTCGCCATTGTATTGTAAGGTACCAGGTTAAGGTTAAACTAGAGATGTAAGGGTTGAACATGATTTAACCAGAAACCTGTTTTCATTTGTATTCAACATTGAATTTGCTAATTTTATTTATTAATACTTAACACTCTTTCAACTCTAGGTAACATTGGGTTAACCTCTTTGTCAGTCACTAACTCTTCTTGGTGAGCTCACGGGTTAAGTTTGGTTTAGTCTCACGGGTTAACCTCTTTGTCTGGTTAATTGGTACCATGGTTAAATCCATCACCAGTTTTATCATCACTTTGACTTTTTATTCATCATAATCTTTCCTTTCTTAACAACTAAACTCTTTATCATCAGCATTTTGCAAGAACAATGAAGAGCCAAGACAAAAAATGAACAGACCAAACTGAGAAACTGGTCATCAAAGGCTAGGTTAACAGGTAACTGTCAACAGTTAATTTATATCTCATTTATTGTTTCTTTTGTTTCTATTCTTAACATGCAAATATCTTTCTTCTCATCGCAGGTTAACACTATGGATTAGTTAATTACTTTACCTGAAAAGCCTTCATATTGTGCGATAATTAAACCTGTCAACAATCAGCGTGTGTTCAGTGGAAATTAAAGATTATTTCTGGATTTTCTCAAAACCAAATTCAACCCAAATGTTAACCCAAAGACCAACCAAATCCACCAGGAAATCAACAACCGGACAAACCCCAAGACCAGATTGGCCAAAGGAGCAAAAGATAAATCACAAGAGCAACTAAAATGGCCAAAAGTTTAACCAAAACAGCAATCAAATGGATTCAAATTGTGGCCCATCTTGTTCACACATCTGGGAATTAGAGTCTAAATTGTTAGTCAAGTTGAACGGCAATTTCATAATCAACTATCACTGGATTGTTACGAAGCAAAAGCACGCTTTACCCAAACACCAACGTACAGAATCACAATAATTGTTTTCACATCATTAATCTTCAATTCTGTCTCCCTTTGAGCCCGATAAACGGATCCTTTCCTGAACTGATACTAACCATGTTAGTTTGTGTTAAATCAATTACATTGCTACATTAATGACTTCTAAATCACGTTAAATAATTTAAAGTGAACAATATCATGAATGGTAAATTTTCATAATGATAAATCTAAAAGGTGAGCTTCTCTTGAACAATGAATAACCATTAATCTATGAATTTAATTTACAGTATACTTTTAGATTTCAAATGTAATTGTAATTTAAGAGTTATTTAAACAACTGCCACAAGCAGTTATGAGGTTTAAAGCACGAGGGCGTAGCCCGAGTGAATTTTATCTCATAACTGCGAGGGGCAGTT